CAATGTTTGGATGGTAGGTTAGGGGAGTGGGTTTTTAAATTTTCTTTCAAAATTTTAAATATATTGCTTCATGGTTTTGAGCCCTTTATTGCTGTCTATAATTTCACGTGATGGATCCACATAGATTGGTTTTGTTCTATTGACTCAGGTTCTGTTCCTTCAGTCTGAGTGTTCTTGCCTTCCAATGAGTCTGTGGCATTAAGAGCTTTTATCAGTTCATATAATATATTCCCTTTGTTCTTCCCTTCTGGAAATTTCATAGGATGTTAGACCTCTTCTTCCACATTTTTTCAAGTCACTTTACTTTTTCCATCTCTATCTTTTAGTGCTGCAGTTTTGGAAACTGCCTCTGGTCTGGCTTTCAGATCCTTAGTTCTCTGTTAAAAGCTCTAATCTTCTTTATAATGCAGCTTTTGAATTTTTAATTTCAACTACAACATGTTTTCCATACGAGAACTCTATTGTAGATACTCAGATCAAATACAGTTTTAAAAGAGCTTAGAGAAAGACATACTTCATGTTATTTATTTAAGGAAGATTTTTATCTCCAATGGGCAATTTTTTTGTTTAGTATATTCTTTTTTGGATACACTTTGTCCTAAATTTATGTACAAGATTCTTTTGACTACTCTACATCAATGAGTTCAAAGGCTCATCTCATGAATGGATGCTAAAGTCCAAACCTTTAGATAAACAAAATTGATAATGTTTCTCCTCTCCCAAGGAGCCACAGCCATAGTTCACCCTTTTCTCTCTGGTTTTCAGTTTGCTCCACACTTCTAGTACCCAAGGAGATGCCTTCATTCTTGAGTGTTTATGCACATAAAGTCTTTTATGTTCAGATCTTACCTGGAATTTCCAAGAATTTATTCAACAGAATCTGAAAACAAAATAATACCTTTTAACTCCTGATTCTGGCAGAAAGGTGGACTACATTAACTTGAAAATTTAACTTAAGTCACCATTCTGCTAGACCCAAAATTCAAAAGCCATGTTTTTGTTTGTATGTTCTCACATATTACTATTAGAATGAGGATTTTAGTTTTAATGAACATCATCAACAAAAAAGGTAATATTTTCTATTGGAAACATTTACATGATAAATGTAAGAATACAAGTAGTTTTCAAGTGTCTGTATCAAGGAATTACTCAAAAGCTTCCAAGCAAAATACTCAGAATTAATGAGCCTGAGCTTATTGTCTATAAATAAATTTGATTTACTATGATTCTTACAGCAACTGAAATAAGAGTCAGTTGGTAGTACCTCATGCTGCATGAGGGGACTGAGACTTGAGCTTGTTGGTTAACTCGCCATATGTGACCACCTCTACCTCATAATACAGGAAGACCCAAAGTAAGTGGAATTGTTTAAGTAAAGTTAAGTCCAAAGTAAGTCCAAAGTAAGTGGACAAGAAACAATGAAAGTATAATCTGGAAGTAGTACTTTGTATGTCTGTAGTGATACATCTTTGGGCTCACCCATATATCTGCTGCCTCCCTCAGGAACTTTCTCAAATACCTACAGGCAGCCTAAACTGAGCTTTCCACGCTTTGCCTCCTGGACCAGCCTGATGCCAAAGGCAATCCACCCTTGATGCTGTTACCCTCATCCACAGGTCCATTAGCAATGTAAGTATACTGAGGTGTAAAGTAGACATCTCCTTCTCAGCCTCAGTGCTTCCCCTCTAATTGGGACTTCTTCTTTCATTTGGGTACTGCCTTCTTGATTCTTCAAGTTCGCACAGAAAACATGACCATCTCTCTCCAGGTAGCATTTGTATGATGCTTTGCACTATCCAACAACCTTATGGAAGGTAATTTCCTCCACTAGTGGAGTAAGAATAGAGATGGATCTGTTTTTGATTTGTATTTAAATTCAGTGAAATGGCTATCTTAAATGTTCTGCATCAACTATATATGCAAAGCACACTTTTATGTTTTTGTAAGTGCACTTTTATTATTACAAAATTACATTGCTTGAAAACTTGCTGTTTTAACTGTCAGTCTCCCATGAACTGCCAGCAGAATGACTGGCAGGCAGAATTGTGTGGTTAGTGAAAAAACTTGATGTGATTGGGTAGAGCCCAACAGAAGGAACAAGACTGAGCAATAGCATTTTTATTCTGAAAGCAAAAAGCCTCCAATGACTTCTCTTTCCTGTCAAATTCTGAATGTTTTGTTGCTTTTCTTGTTTTTACTTTTGTCCTGAATTTTGTAGTTTTCTTACATGCACTGAATGTGAAGTAGCCTTGTATATTTCTTTGGGGATGTAAGATTTTTGCTAGGTGATACCAAGGGATGGATGTAATTCAGTGACATTTTGTCAGGCTATTAAAGAGTAAACTTTCCTTGACTGTGACAGGAAGTAATTATTTTTTGATTGGTTTTTATTATTGTTGTTTCTGACAAATGTGAAGAAAATTTGGGATTGCTATTTTAACTATTCCAAGATACTTTTCATTCTGTTTGGCAGGAAGAGAAAATGCATTTCTTGTCGGAGGAACTGCCAGATTTGCTTGTCCCTACAGATGATGCAGATTCTGATACTGTGAATGTTTCTTGTAATCTCCTAGCAGCCCCTTCCCTACTCCCTGAAGACATCCTTGATACATCTCTTCATTCTCTTATCCCTCCTGACATTTTACCTATAGCATACCCTGTTTCACAGCCAGCTTTCCATCACTATAACAAAATACCTGAGGCAATTACTGTACAAAGAGGAAAAGGTTCTTTTAACTCATTGTTTTGGAGGTTCCATCTAATTTTGGGGATGCACATTACTTTGGCCCTCTGATAAGGCAGCAAATCATGGTAGAAATGTGCAGCAAAGTAAAATTGTTTACTTCATGAAACAGGAAGCAAAGAGAAACAGGAAGAGAATAGAGTCCCACAATTCCCTCATGGATACACCCCAGTGACCTAAAAATCTCCTACTAGGCCCCACTTTTGAAATGTTCCACCACCTTCTAAGAGTGCCACCCTGCTACCAAGTCTTGAATATGTGGACCTTTGGGAAACACTTATCTAAACCATAATGCTCTGTGACAATCATTCCATAGCTCCCAGGGGATATTCACTGCAAAGCAAATATACCAATAGACGTGATTCCAGCACTCAGAATTCATAAACCTGTGGGATCCCAGGGGACTGGCAACTAAACAAACAACAATAAAAATACTTTATATAGCTTTCTGATGTAAAACTTCATTCATGGAGATAGCTCTAAAAAGTAAAAAGTAAGTCCTTCAGATGATAATATTTTGTAGCCTGACTCCGTGATTTAAAAATTTGGGTACTTGATCAAAACATATCAAAAGAATGTACTTGTTCATTAGGTTCTGATGAACCCTTTTGAAATTATATTAACTACATTCTTCACCACCACTTCATTTCTGAAATTTCTCCTTGGTGAACAATAAGAGCCAAGAACTCAGTTCAAGGGCTGAACTACACCTGATGCCTGTGTGGTACCTGCCTTGAATTCTGCTTCTGGCAGTTGATGGCTTCCTCAGGGAAAAGTTATCTCCATAACCAACCTAGATGAACACCCTGTACATATACCCCATGCTTCTTAACAAGGCCTTTGGGATCACTTATTGGAGAAAAAAATGTTAACCTATCAAAGAAATGTTAACCTATCAAAATGTCTCTGTCAAAGAGACAGTATAATTATAACAATAATAATAAGAGATTTTTAATTCTTACTATGTATCAACATAGTGTAATTCTGCATGCATTAGTTCAGTCATTTCTCACATGACTCTGATAGGTAGGCATCATTATGCACACTTCACAAATGAGCCAACTTGGTGAGCCTCATTTTTTGGTGAACATTGTTGGCTCAGGGTCCCCTTTTCCTAAAACTCTACCTAGACAAGAATTCTTTAGTGTCTGTTTCAGAGACTTCTGGTCTCTTCCACCAGTATTGTCAGTTCTCCAGCAATGTCTGAAGCTGGTAATGGAGATGGCTCAGGGCTATGCTGTGATAGTCACTAAATATCTATTTAGCATATGGCTCCCAATAATAGACTTGGTTAGTTTTTGTTTATTTTTGTGGGGTTTTTTTCTTTTAACCTGTATCAACTTCTAAATGACAGAGTGGTCATCTGGGGTTCTCTGCTTATTATTCAATAGTCCAATCAGCCCCTAATAATAATATAGCCTGTAACATAAGACCTAATGGGAAATGGGAAAATACACTATTATAAGCATCACAGGGTGATATTCAATTGAAAATCACCCTGTGATGCTTATAGTGATTCTTATAATTTTTTAAATACTTCAAGTCACCAGTACAAAGGTAATCTCATATTTGTGAACAGTTGGTACCCCTGCCAGCTCTCTCTGCACCAGTATGAGATGAGGAAGTGAGTCCCCTAGAGGGCACAGTCTCCCAGAAGGGACACTCCAGAAATGGCAGAGCCTCCCCTTCCTCCCTCCTCCCACAGGTACCTGATGCTCCATCTGCTTCTGGGATCACTCTAGTCCACCCCCCAACCGCCATCACCTCCTCTCTTGGTGCTGGTTCCTCCAGAACACCTTCACAGGATCATTGTTCTCCCCTGTGTCCATCACATAGTCCCCCACCTTCACTTCCTACCTAGGGTCTGGTTCTCTCCTAAAATCAATGGCTTGGCTCTCTGCATACACACACATGCACTACACACCAATGTACATGTCAGCGAGCTTTCCACTTATAGATCCTAAAATGGGGAAGAATGAAATTAGGAACCCTTGATAGGTCAGGGAAATATTTCCCAGTTATGGTGGATTTAAGGTGTCCACAATGGTTCATGTCAGTTTTTGGCATGCAGTGAGTACTTATTGGGGACTTACTGAATGAGTGAATGTATAAATTAACAAATGCATGAACAAATAAGATTCTTTATTATAAAAAGTTTGCTGTCTAAAGCTACATGGATAGAGAAGAAAGGTGGATGGATAGGGAAAACAGGAAGCTAAATAAAATGAAAGGGATACATATGCACAGGTCACCTTACCATGTAAAGGCTTTCATGGAAAAATAGCCCCATGTTGTAAAAGTTGCCACCATGCCTAACTGGGTGTGTTCTGGTCCTCAACTGCTCTGTTTGCCACCATTGCAAGACACAGCCCCCCAGTCGGCTGAGCAGGGACACTCTGAGGAGATAACAGCCTCAAGGAGCCTTATCCTTGAGGCCTCAGATGCATTTGATCTGTATTTGAAGCAGCTGAGGCGACTGAGACTGCTCAACCTGCATAAAAGGTGGAATTCTTGAATGACACAGGAACTGTGTAAAACCACACAATTAGCAACAACGGGCTTCTGGGAAGGGGAGTAGACAATTACTTTTACTCAACCTGTAATTGTCAGGTATTAGCAAAGATAACAGACAAGGACACTCGATGTATAATTAAGAGGTCAAAAGGCAAACCTGCTGATGATAGGAGGGAAAGTTTAGCCAATCTGTAAGCATGGTATGTTAATGACCTGTGACATCAGAAACCATTCATTTATTATAACAAGATAGAATTAACAGGAAACCAACACTTCTCAAAACCACACAGCATGCCCTCTCCAATATCGGGGATGGGTGAAACTGGACAGTAAGCTTCAAACTGGGGATGTGAAGGGTGATGGGCCTGACCTACAACAGTAATCGGAGATCACAATGCCATATTGATAAGTGTAGTGCAAAGCAGGCCAGGACAACATCTACTGGACTGGAATGGGGTCAGCCTGTTCCACATGGTTCCAAGGAGAATCGAAACATAAGGGGGAAGTAGCATATGGATGTGTTTTACCCCCAAATTTAGTACCACTTACATGTAACAGAGGTAGATGACTTAGTACTCTACAGAATGTTTCAGTGCCATTGCTCATCTTCAGCTAACAGAAAAAGGCCATTTCCATTTTTAGTAGGTGTCTAAACATTTATGCAGAATGATGATTTTTAATGAACTACTCTTTCAGGTTAAATAAAAACTAAACTGGGATTATTAATAACTTAAATATCATTTAAATCTTATATATTTCTATATCCCCAAGTCCCTAATAGTTTTCCAAATAATTTGATCTTGAAGAATTTTCTGGTATGTTGTCCTTTAATCAAAAGCAATGTCATTTGTAGAAGCAAGTTACTCTCTTGGCCACTCAAGTTAGTAGTACCACCAGTTAAACTGCAGCCAGCAGTAAGGATTTTGTAATCCTGCCTAGACTTTATTTGAAGAGATAATATATATTTCCATATAGATAGTATGCTTCTAGAATTAAATCACAGTTAAACAGTGGAAGTTGTTCAACTTCTTTTGTTTTTTCATGCAAGTCATACTTAAAAACTAATTGGAATAACAATTATTTTTGGTTTAATTAGAAAATCTTAATTAACAACAAAGACTTAACCTTAATATTTTGGTTTCCAAAAATATTTTAAAACTTAACACCATGTGAATAAATAAGACAATCTTTTTAAACCTCAAGGCAGGATTACTGATGCAGGCAGACGGAGTTATTAAACACATTCTAAATTAAACGCCTCTATGAATTTTATACTGAAATATATTGTGATAGTTTTGCATGCCAAATGTGACATTTTGTGTTTCAGATTCATCTTCTGTAGTAATTTTGGAAATGCCATACAAACAAAGATTTTGTCATTTACCAATGGAATTACTATGCATGGCCGCCTAGCCACCTCTTTGCTGGCTCTTGTGGTTGTTTCAAGTCAGCAAGCCATAAAAAATCTTTATCTCTCTGAAACACAGCAATTTGGAAGATAATCGAATGGTGACTAGGGGGCAGAAATGCCAGTCTGAGGAATTATACCACAATCTCTCTTGCATTTACAACCTTCCTCAAAGCGGGTGTCAGATGAGTAGAAGCGGGAGATAGAAGATTCATCAAATCTCAAGCCTGGCGTCATTTGCATGGTGGCAGACCTGCCTCACTGTACAGAGGGACGGGTCCTGGTCCTATGTGCACCCTGCTTTGAGGAATTCCAAGGGCTTTGCTATTGAGAGCCTTCAGCCATCCTATTTTAGCACAGAATTCTCATCAGAAAATATTTATTAGGCCTGCTAAAATTCTGTTTCTCTCGAGAGATCTACAGGCAGGAAAGCATAACAGGCATAAGGATCAATACCATTGATCTCATCATTTCACATTTTGCATCAGGAAAAAAGTCAGTCCCAAGAGCCTCACCTTCCAGCAAGATCCTGCCACTCCCTGGCAACTGTGAGTTACTTCTGTGAGGGAACCAAGCTTGGTGACACTGTGCTTTTTACAAACATGTGAGTCTGCAGTGAATGGCTGATCTGGAGCTCTGCCGCAATTGAGAAGGAGGGAAGAAGAAAGAGAAATTGACAACAGAGTATAAAGAAAAGATTTGCCTTTGGAACCACAGTGCAATTTGATGTTTTCCTTAAGCATTTTGTCACATAACTAGGAATTAGATAAACACCACATTACAGGTGTTGCCACTGATTAAAGTCAGAGAGGAAGTGGCTTTTGAAGTATGGCCCCATAAAATATAAGATTCATTATACTGTATTAGCTACTGATCTCCCAATAATTAAAATGTCACTTGTTTAAGAAATTACCAGGAGATCGAATATAATAATCCCTCTGTATCTGTGAGGGATTTGTTTCAGGCCCCCCATGAATACTAAAATCCACAGATGTTCAAGTCCCCTGTATAAAATGGCATAATATTTGTGTATATGCTCATCCTTCTGTGTACTCTAAATTAGTCCTAGATTACTTATAATGCATAATATAATACAAATGCTATGCAAACAGTTATTATACTATATTGTTTAGGGGATAATGGCAAGGAAAAAAAGTCTGCACAAGCTCAGTACAGATGCACCCGTCATAGGTCTAACTGTGTTTTCAGTGATTGGTTGAATCCATGGATGGAATCTATAGATATGGCGGGGCCAACTATTTCATTGGACTTCTTACCAGTTCATTTTTAATGCCCTGCTCCTTTCATTCTTATAAATTGTTGGAGAAACTTTGAGAAAAACTTCATCTAAATTCATGAATAGCTGATATGACATAAACTTTTTTTAATGCAATGGCCAGAGATCAAGATCTATTTCCACCCTCAAAACGCTCCCCAGGCTCTTTGTTTCCTATTAACATTTATTCACTTTATTCGAGATTCTTCTTTATGGTTAACTTTTTTTTTCTTCTTTAATCCTGACAGCATTTGCCTGCTTTCCCAAACTAATTTGAATTAAGAAGGATCATGTATCTCACTTCTCCTGACTTAAACTAAATTCCATCAGCGGGGCCATCTGTGACAATGACTATACCCCCATCAGAGGAATAGCCTTTTGGGGTCTCACTGCTGATTTAGTTTCCTGTGACACAAATGATTTCCCTTAATTTGGTTAGAGCTCCATTGACACAAGGGTTCATTAGGACACCCATTTGCCAGCAATTCAATTTCAAATTAAATACACTTTGTTGTAAATTTTATTACTTTTAAACTACTGTATCTATTGTCTTTAATGGCCCTATTATACAGTTATGAAGGTTAACAGATTTCATTAGTAAACATCGAACATTTTATGTTAACCACAGTGACATGATTTCCTCAGTTTCTGTCTTTGTTCCCTTGGCAAGAACTGTTAGCCATTTAGAAATATCCTAAAAAGTTTATCTAGATAATTAGATACTACATCCACAAATATGATCTGAAAGAAAAAAGATAAAGAAAGCGTGGTCTCTGCTCATAAGCCCAGTTTTTATAATTAAAGATATTCTAAAAATAACTTAAGGTTAAAAAAGGAATATAATGCACAGGAAAAGGTTAAGACACAGCTTTAACATGATACCAAATACCTAGCGATCATCTCCTGATTTCAGTTCCTTAAAGCAATCACATTCTAGGTCAGGAGCCACAAGCAGACAACAGATCACATTTGCATTAGGTCCTGAGCCACATTATCATCCCGTTCTCCAGTTCTTGAATATGCATTGAATTTATGATTATGTAAGTATAAGTGGCCCTCAGTGTCCACTGGAAACTGGTTCCTCAGTTCCTACTTTGAATATCAAAGTCCAAGGGTGCTCAAATTCCTTAAATAAAATAACATAGCATTTGTATATAACATAACTTAAAATCATTTCCAGATGACTCATATAAATTGTAGTACCATGTAAACTCTTTGTGAATAGTTATATGGTAATTTTTAGAGAATAATGACAAGAAAAACAGATTGTACATGTTCAGTACAGACACAAGTTGGTTTTGGGGGGGTAATATTTTCTATCTAAGGTTAGTTGACTCTATGAGTGTGGAAACTGTGAATACAGAGGTCTGGATATGTGTTCGTGCACTGCAAAAATTTTCTCCTTAGCCTACAGCTTGGGTATAACCCCTAGTGAAATACTGACTTGTCTTTTTCATAGCTAGGTAACGAGATACTTTTTTTTTTCAATACAAAATGAGACTGGTGCTGTAAATATTATTTTGTAATCTTTGTTTCCCACTAATTATATTATAGTCATTTTTTTCTTACTACAGCATAACTTTTAGGTATTACCTAGTGTTTAATTCCAAAGGTCTATCATAATTTATTTAAATGATCCCTTACTGCTGGATATTTAGGCTAGTTCCTACTTTCACTATTGTAAGCTCATGTGTAAGTAGCTCTCTCATACATAAAATCTTGCCGACCTCCCTGGCCATTTTCTTAATATAAAACCCTATCATTGGAAATGTTGGGCACAGGAGGCATGCTATTCTACACCTCACTGGTCTCTACATTGAGCACCGAAATGGCACTGTAGTGATGTATAATCCCATATGCATGGCCTGGCCTCTCAGACACCAAATAATCCTCACAAGGGCCTCATCTTATTGCATGTCTAGGAGAATAAAAAGTTAAGGAAAACAGCAGTGAACAAGCACGATGGAGGTACAGCGCACGGGGTTTCTCAACTGCAGCACTACCGACATTTTGAACCAGATACGTCTTCGCTGTGTGGGTTGCTCTGTTCATTAGAAGATATTTAGCAAGATCCCAGGCCACAACTCACTAGATACCACTAGCACCCTGACCCAGCCCCAGTTGTGACAATCAAAAACATCTCTTCACACTGTTCACTGTCCTCTGAGGGCAAAATAGATCCCTGGCAATGATCATTGATTAAGTATTAAGTAGCATCTATTTAGTATTTAGCACGTTCAAGGCACTTTCTCTAAACTACCATTTTTCTTATCTATTCAATCTTTACAATAAGCTGACAAGGGATTATTAGTATTATTCCTGCTTAATTGATGGGAAACTGATGCTGAGAAGTGTTTGCTGTCTTGTTCAAGGTCACACAGTATGGTGAAAAGTGACACCATCCAACTTGAAAACTGTCTCTGAACCCACACTGGCTCTTACTGCCTCAGGGAGGAATGACTGCTACATCTACAGGTTGGAAGTTCCTACACTGGCCTAGGGAGTTAAATATTTTTCAAGAGATAAATAAAACATGGTTCCCGGATATACTGGCAAAGGTAAAATGCTGTATCCCCAAAGAACGTATAGATAAAGGGGCACAGATATATCCTATGATGAAATGGGGTCAAGGTTCCCAAATATCTTAGAGTGAATCAAACAAGGGGTGCTTATCACATATAACTAATCCATATTTAATCCATAATAATACACACAGAGAGAGGTAAAATAGAATTAATAAAATTAAATCTCACATGAAGGAACATACTTCTTAGATGTTTTGTCCATCTTTAAACATGACATGGGAATGTACTGGTTGAGTCCTTCTTCAAATTTCAAGTCCTACATTAAAAAAGAAAGAGAAAAAAATTTAAAAAATAAAATTGATTCAAAGCACTCTTGAAACACATGTAAAATTTGTTTTTGCTAGGGGCAGGATATGCTGACCCTCAAAGGATAAATTTCCCAGAAACAAGAACACTGGAGATGTGCCTGTGCCTTTGGGAGCTGCCTTATTATGGTACCTGACTTCTTGCTCTCTCTCTCTCTCTCTCTCTCTCTCTCTCTCTCTCTCTCTCTCTCTCCCTCTGTCTTTCTCTCACACACACAGTACACAGTATAATGGTATGTACATTTGCATTTACATTTGTACACATGTACATTTACATTTAGAACATGTAAGCTGACATGACTGGAGTATAGGAAGCTAGAGAGATTAACAATAACTTTAGTCACAATTTATCATCTAATCCAAGATACTTGGAGAGTAAAATGGGAAACATAATTATGCAAGGACAATAGGCATAATGCTAGACTCTCCTATTCAAAGTATATAAAAGCAATAAAAGTATTTAACAATATGCTTGTAGATGCCCTGATAGGGTCTCAAATAGTCAAAGCCTACATACTCAGTGAAGGTGTGGAGATGGAGAGAAAGAGAGAGATTGTTGAAGATGAAAGTTGCAGCCTTAATAACTCAAATATCTCAAAATTAAACAAGATTTCTTCTACTGTGTGTTTTTGGTGACATAGATCAACTCTCATACCTGGCAGGCGGGACCTATACAAAGGTGTGAATAACTGGTAGCTGGGTTCACAGGTCCATAGCAGCTATGAAATCAAGACATGCAGATGTTGGATGCTCCTCGATGAAATCTCAAGGTCTGGGAATAGTTCTCCATGGCTCTTAGCCCTCCCCTTTGGACTCCTGGTTCCACATTCTGAATCTTTCTTCCTTCTTGTTGCATAGAAGTAGCACATCTTTGCAGCTAAGGAATTTTCCCAGCCTGCTTTCTGCCAGTAGAATTTAGGGGTCCCAACACCTCTTCATCTGGTTCCTTCTCCACCCCCTTTCAATCCAAGGAGGTGATTTTTCTGCTAATATATATATTTTTTTAATTTAGGGAGTCTTCTCTGAATCCTACTGGAGTTCACTTCATTAGATGAAAATGAAAACCACAAAACTCTTCAAAAAGACCTCTATCTTGGGCTTCCACTGACAGGATGAGGAGCAATGCCTCTGAGCTCCCTAGAAATCCCACGTTGTTTGGCTGGGAAACTGTGGGGCACAGCCTGAATCTCTTCACAGTGCCCTTTGTCTAATGAATAGTATTCTGAGGCACTACCTTTCATATTTCTGAGTTCTTAACCAAAGATTTGACTGTGACACTCTTGGCTTCATTCTTGAGCTATATTTTCCTGGCACTGGATCTTTGTTCAAAAGATTTTTCTTCATTTTAGTGTTGTTTGTCACCTAGGAGGCTGAGAATTTTCAGAACCACCAAGTCATGACTCATTCTCTTTAACAGACCTTCAGTTAGTTTCTCTCTCTCCTCTCACATTTGACAATGTGCAGCAAGAACACACCAGGCTAGGAATCTCCTTAGGTAGATTATCCAGTTCACTAGGCATATTCCCTATTTTCCACATAACTGCAGGCAACGGTGTTCCTAACTCATGTTCCATAATAAAGATTTTCCTAAAAGGGTTGAGGTTAATTTTTTATATACGGATACCAGGTGTTCTAGTGCCATTTGCTGAAAACACTATCTCTTCCTCGGCTCTTGAATTGAGTTTATATTCTATAAAATGCTAATGTTAAATAATTTTTCAAAAATCAGTGGACCATATATGTGTGGTTCTACTGCTAGATTCTCTGTTTTATTCCAGTGATCTATATGTCTTTCCTTACACCAACACTGCCTTGATTACTGTAGCTTTAGAAGAAGTCTTAAAATTAGGTACTGAACATTTTCCAACACTTGTTTTTGTTTTTGTTTTTAACTTTTCTAGGTCCTTTGTACTCCCACATAACTTTTAAATTTCAATATCCAATTCTTCATTTATAGCAAGTATACACAGACCTGAATTTTTATATATACCTTGTGTTTTCTAATCCTGCTAAATTCAAATACAAGTTCTAGGGACTCCTAGAGATTTCTTAGTATTTTCTCTGTAGATGATCATTTCATCTACATATAAAGATTTTGCTTCTGCCGTGCCAATCCTATCCTAGTTGTGTCATTTTATTGCCAGACTATTTTGGTGGGGAGTAGGTTTCAAAGTTTAATGGACAGATAAAGAGTAAGCATATCTGCCCTTGTTCCCCACCTTAAGGAGAAAGCATTATATCTTCTTCATTTATTTAAGGCATTCTCACTGGAAGTATGGAGTACATGTCTTTAATCTGTTGAGAAGGTTCTGTTCTATTTCTAGTCTCCTGATAGCTTTTACCATGAACAGCTGTAGAATTTAGTCCAATACTTTTTCTCCAACTAGTGACAGGATCATATGGCTTTCTCCTTTCCTCTGTTAAAATGATGACTTCTGGGGGTGGATCTTCCAATGCTGAACCAACACTGCCTTCCTTATAACAAAACCACTTTCTACATACTGCCAGATCTGACTTCTAATAGTTTGTTTTCTTAAACAAATTTCTATCTATGTTCATACTTTTTTCTTCTATTATCTTTATCCAGTTTTAGGATTAGCACAATGTTGAGTTCCTAAAATGAGGGGAGAAGTGTTCCTTCTTTTTCCTGCTTTAATTGTTTGATATAATTTGTCAGTTAAAATGTTTATGAGCCTGCTGTTGTCATATAGGTAGGTTTTCAAGCTAGGAATATACTTTCTTTAATAGGTGCTATTCAAATTTTATATTTCCTCCAGAGTTAGTTTCATTAATTTGCCTTCCAAGGTACTTCTTAGAAGTTGTCAAATTTATTTCAAAAAAGATTTTTGTAATATGCTTTCTATATCCTTTTAAATTCTGTAAAATCTGTGGTAATGTCTCCTAGATTTTAATATTGTGATTTTAAAAATGTATAACTGATATTGTGTAACAGGAAGAAAAGGTCTAAAAGACCAGGGGAATTGGGAGGGGTAGGGGAAGGGAAAAAAGGGAAAGGAAAACATATGAGAAGGGGAAAAAAAATGGAAACAAGGTCTTTGCAAATAGGGAAGGGTGGAGGGGTTGGAGGGAGGGCAAGGGAAGGGGAAAAAAATAAGAACCAAGATACTCATGTAAAGGTACAAGATCCCAATGATGAATGTAACTGTATTGTATACCGAAAATGTACCAATAAACTTAATGGGGGAAAAAAAAAAAAGATTTTCCTCCACTTCCCAGTGATATTTTGCTCATTTTCTTACAAGTCCTCACTCTACAGAAAAGTCTTCAACACACACTCTCCTCAAAGTTCACTGTGTATTTTCAGTTTCAGTAATGAATTGGGTTTTATTATGTAGCACTCCATTTCTAGGTATCAAAATCTGGATTATGGTAGTTCCTCCTTTATCTGCACAGGATATATTCTAAGATTCCTTCATGGATGGCTGAAACAAATTCTATATATATTATATTTTTCATCCTATACACATATATGATAAATTTTAATCTATAAATTAGGCACAGTAAGATATTAATAACACTACTAATAAAATAAAACAAATATACTAATATATTGTAATAAAAGTTACGTAAAGGTGCTCTCTCTTATTTCTGGAATCTTCCTTTTGGTATTTTCGGAACCCTATTCATCACGGGTAACTAGAATCACAGAAAGTGAAACTGAGGATAAGGTGACATGACTGTAAACTGTAGTGTGACTTTATATCACATTATTCTAAGACTTAGCAACTTAAGATAACAAATAATGTCTTGCACAATTTCGGAGGATCAGAAATCCAGAAGCTTCTTAGCAGAGTTTTCCTGGCTCAGGGTCCCTCGTAAGGCTATAATCAAGCTGTCAGTGTGGTCAGCAGACACTGCAAGGGTCAAATGAGGCTGGGAGTCTGATTCCCAGCTCCAGCCCAAGTCTGCTGCAGCCCTCCACTCACTGCTGACTGTTAGCAGGGCTTTTACCTCCTCTCCACGTGGGCCTCTCCACAGGCTGCTCACAAGATGGCAGCCTGCTTCTCTCACAGTGAGAGATGAAGTACTGTGGTTCCAACAGAAATCTCCTCATAGAGCTATTAAAATTGTATAAGAAATACAAATGACTGTAAAATATTGGTGTAGAGCAGAAATCTTGCCAGGATCATATCAGCCTGGATGCCACATCATATACTGTGCTTGGCTTGACTAGATAAATTTCTTAACACAATTCTGCCAAGAGGGGCTTTAATATATATCTAAAAGATAACATGAAACAGATCAATTCCCTGCAGTCAATACTCTCAAGTTTTTTAACATACTAATTATGTGACATTGGAGAGTCCACAAGAGCCATGTTAGGCTGTATTTACTGACCACTTATACCATACTGCATACTAGGCTGCCTTCAGTTACTCATTCTACAAATATTTATTGTAAAAATCTGTTTTGTGAGAGACACTATACTACAAGCCAAGAATACAATAGTATGCAAAGTTGTACCATAGCTGACATTTATAAAGCCTTCTTTCTGGTGGACCTGATAAATGAAATAAATGAGAAATAAATAAAACAATGGCAAGTATAGAAAGTGCAATGGAGGGAACAATCCAAAAGACAATACAGAGAATGATTTTTAGAGAGTGAGTTTATGGCACAGTACCTTTAGTAGAGAAAGTGACATTTAAAATGAGACCTAAAAAATTTAGCCATGCAAAGAGTGGCAAAAATGGATTCTTCTAGGCAGTGAGAGCAGCATGTGCAATGGCCCTCAGGTAAGACATAACTTTAAAGATAAATGCCATTTTAAACTAGACACATGGGGAAATGGGCTAGAAACATAAACTGGAGCTAGAACCTGCTGGAATCTAGATGCTGGTGATGAATCTGCATGTTATATGTAAGCGTGAAGCCAATAAAGGGTTAAGTAAAGGAATGGTGTTGTCTCATTCACATCTAACGAGCAGTGAAGTTTTGAGAATGTTAAATGGATATTTGATTATTCCTTTCTTATAAATCACATGTCTCAGCAAAATGCAACTGTGATAGATCTAGATGACTGAAGAGAGGAAATTCCTCCTCAATTTGGAAGATGTAGAAGTCACAGCTAGATGGCCAGAGGAGGTGAGGAGGGGCCTCCATCGAACTGCCAGCCAGAGGAGAGAAAGTAAACAATCAGCCAATGATATGTGTATCTGGCTTCTCCCCACCCCAATCCTTCCTCTCCAAGATGGAAATCCTGCAAGAGCTGCAGAAAGAGTGTGAAACAGTTTGCAGAGAAATCCAAAGCCAGAAGGGTTATGTCAGGCTTTCATCAAAACTCAGAGAAGAGGCCACATTGCGAAAGGCCCCAGTCATCAACATGGGGTGTGATGCTACCGAGCTAGAGAACCACAGGTGCATGCCCTTGTGGCTAGACATGGTGAAGACCCACCATCAGTGCCGGTATCGTGAGGCTCTGGATAGAAACAGATGCGCTCCCGAAATGAGATGATTTGAAGAGTACTTACCTATAAAGACATTGTTATAAGCTATGGATTTAAACGGACCATAGAGCAGGCTGTTTCCTCCTCTGGGCTTGAAAGGACAGGAGACAGAATGGTCACCATGCTCTGGCAGAAGATAGGCTGCTTAGTGTCATTTTCTCTGAGCACAGCAGTGATCCTGGGTAGAGGGACAGAGCCAGCTCCATGCAGCCTGACCTCACAGGGAGGAGGAACTATATGCAAGACTGCTGTCTTCCTGCCTCCACTCCAGGCCATGACTCCTCATGGATGGAAAGCAGCCAGGAGCCAGAAGGCACAGGAACCCTACTGAAGCATCCTCAAAGTTCAGCTGCTGCTGGCAGAGATCGGATGTAAGAGAAAAAGTAACATGACAGACACAGTGCCATCCTCTCCCTTAATTCCCGCATGGCTGGGAGCTCCCGAGAAATGTTCACTCCCTACGGAGGGATAAACGGAGGCAGAAGTCTGCTGACAGCTGAGGCTGGTGAGATGACCCTGCAGCAAAACATGCCTGGAGGCCACACTGAAGGGTGAATGCTGGACTGCGACGCATAAAGGTTTTGCCATGTGGCCAGATAAGGAAGGCAGGGAAAATAAACAACCAAAGTTGAAGCTCAAGTTTCTGGCTTGAGTCTGTGGTGCCATTTACTGAGATAGGGAAGATGAGTAAGTCAGGAACAGAGTTTTGAGGTGCAAAATTTTAGGCTCCATATTGGACATGTTAAATTTGAGGTGTTGTTGAGATACCAAATAGGAATGGTGACTATAAGTGACATATGTGGGTACGACAGTAAGGGAAGAGGTTGGTGATGGGAATCAACAAAGTAACCCTACAGAAACCTCCCAGTGTTTTATGCATTATATAATTTAACCCTTTGTATGTTTTATATCATTCAGTCCTCACAACAGCCCTGTGATAGATACACTTGAGTGTCATACTTACTTCACGGATGGGTCAACTGAGGCTTAGAAATGGATCCTAAGGTATTTACCCAAGTTCACAGCACATGGTAACGTCTAGCGCTAACTCTGTATCTCAGCTCTTACCTAGCATGCCTGGCCCTTTAAGTAGTCACTCATAGCTTTCTAAAAGTTAGATTCACAGGACGAGTTTCCTTTTTTTTCCTACTCACTTGACCCCATATATTTTCCATTGCAAGCCCATAGCCAATTTCCTTGTGAGAACAGTGAAGGCTTCAATCAATGGATGTATATAAACCTTTGGAAATGGGTGAAACTTTATTACATAATATAAAATTTCCCTTTGTACCATCCATTTTCCAAGAAGTACTGAACAGAACAATCATGGTTTACAAAGAGAATAAATTCCTCATAAAGCCAACTATGTTAAAGTTCTCTGCATTTGAGAACCATCAATTATTAATAGTAAACCAAAAGTAACTCATTTGTACAAAAATTTATTTTATAATATTTTCCAAACCAGACTTTCTTCTATATTCTATAAGTCTGAGTAAATGATGTTGCTGTAATATGGGGAATACATAGGGCTCAATGTGGCATAAAGTATCATAAATGTTATCAATAAACCAAAAAATAATTATGTAAATGTTCTACTTATTTATATAACATCCAAACAAAATTCAGAAGATCCCTGACTAGCCACCACTGCAAATGTAAATATTAACTTTCCATAATTATCTCTATGTGTCCCTGGGTTAGGCCTTTTCTCACAGCAATATGAAGAAATGATGCAGGGAATATTATTCTAGACCCTTCTTTATGAAAAAAAAAAAAGAAGAAGAAGAAGAATTCCTCCAAACACTGCTCAATTTTCCATAAATGTCTAACCATTCTTAAAAACAATTTCTGGTTTATTAATTCTCTCTTTTAATCAGTAATAAAACTCAACAAAAAAATTTGATTCTGCAAAACTGACTGAATGTCTGCCTTTTATCTTATCTACTATTGAGTACTTGGATTTTAATAGTCAAACTCATGGTGAAGGTCATCAGGAAACAATGAAAGTTATCTATAATTTGCCCTTTCATTCCATACTCTTCTCCTAAAAGCTAATGGAAGTCATATTTCAGGCCCTAGAAGAATTTTTTTATTAGTTTGTCTTGCATTCTTATAACAAAATACCTGTCACTAGGTTTCTTAGAGGCTGAAGGTCTAAGATTCAGTGGCCTATGTCCTTAGCATCTCCTGAGAACTTCATCAGTCCTGTCCAACATGGCAGGGAAGCAGGAAAGGAAGAGAAAGAAGAAAGAAAGGAAGAAGGAAGGAAGGAAGGAAGGAAGGAAGGAAGGAAGGAAAGAAAGAAAGAAAGAAAGAAAGAAAGAAAGAAAGAAAGAAAGAAAGAAAGAAAGAGAGAGAGAAAGGGGAGCGAGGAGAAAAAAGAAAGAAAGAAGGGGAGGGAAGGGGAGGGGAGTAGAGGGGAGGGTGGGCCACAGGCAGGCAGGGCAAACTGGTGCAGTAACCTTGCTGTTTTAGAAGCCACTCTTGCAGTACTGATCTGGTTCCATGAGAGCCAGGACTCCTGAAAGCATGAATCCACACATGAAGGTGGTCCCCTTCACGGCCTAACTGTCTCCCACTGGGCTCCATGTCTCAAAGACCTACCACCTCCACACAGAGGACCAGGGCTCCCACACCTGAACATCTGGGACCCGTGCTGGAACCACGTCCAAACCTCAGCAGCTTCCTGTTAGCATGCAGGGCACATGGGGACAGCACAAGTGGAGAAGCTGTGTAACAGGGTTCCAAGAAATCCACAACCCAGTGTGAAAAAATACTGGCATGGTACAGAGAAGGAAGGCATGAGGCCTTAATTAACACACCACTTTGCAAATTCATGAAAGCTTTCATAAATGACCAATTCTCTGAATTTGTTTAATCTTTAAATTATTTTGAAGTATTTTATTGAGATATAGTTTAGATCCAAAAGGAAAAAATGTTTCTGATATTAAACATACAGTCATGCTTTATGACTTCAACTAGAAAAAAATGTCTGTTAGTGAACTTTCAAGCTGTTTCTAAACATATCTTGTGTTTTTAGTAGAAATTCTACTAGGGAAAACAGAATAAAATATTCAGAAAAGAAACATTGCTTCCAAGAGGAATCACTGGGCCAACCTGTCTGTAATTGTGTATGGCATGTGTAACCCTGGAAGTACATCAGGACAACTCATGGGACAGAAGACAGCGCTGTAACAGTCTGATCCAGTCCTTGTTAGACAAACATGTAGGAAACAATACATGGTAAATAAATGATCAAAAATGACTGCAAACTGGATAGTAGACAAAATTGCCATGAAATCTTTTAACTATTGGTTGGTGCTATGTTGGCTATGTGCTTATTTTTTAATTCATAGCACGGTATAAATTTGTAATGGTCTCTGCATGCCTTTTGTAAAAACTAACAAGCATTCCTGAGTGTCCTTCCTCCAAGACGTAGATGCACCAAGATGTCCAGAAGTTTCTGATGAATCAGCTGCAAGTGCCTTCCTCACAGGCCATGCTAGAAGCAGGCAGAAGAAGTGAACAATGAGATGTTAAAATATTTTATTCCGATGTAACCTTTTAAAATACTTTTAAAAGTAAGGTTGAGATCATCAAAGTAGAATATCGGGTCAAGGAGTTGCAATCAACATGACTTCGTGGCTGTCATCCTCAGGTTCAGCATTCTACTCTCAGCATGATTCTTTTTTGGCCTATTTCTCTGACGTAATCCCACTGCACTGGTTCTCTTTCTTAAGCTGGCCCAAGAGAGAAAACAAATGTAGCTGGAAAACCTGTTTCTGCACTTAGGACATTTGTTTGAAAATATGAATTTCCAGAAAGAATTAGACACATATACATAGTCCCTGACAGTAGTTTCTTTTTAGATGCTACCTTCTTGCAAAAGAAATGGAAAATTAGATAGATGTAAAATAATTGTTATAGTGATCATACTTTAAAAGTCTTTTATCACCCTAAAAATATGTTAGATTTGTGAAGACTTATTGCACAGTACAGTGAAATGGAGTCATAGTTAACAGTTTGTTTACCTAAAATAGAAAAATCATGTAAAAAGTCCAGTGCTTCAGGTTGTCTTAAGAAAATCTTATATCTAGAATCTTATATCTTTTACATGAAGTGAAATTTCTAAAATGTTGAAAGTTCTAAAATATGAATTATTCACTACATTACATAAATTTTCTTCTTTCGCAGTTACAAAATCTCAAAATTGGTTATGTAAATTGCAGCTTATTTTTGTTACCTTGGGGTACTGGAGCCAGGAGGAGATAGGAGCAATATCAAACAAATGACATTTTAGATTTTAAAAATTGTATTTTTTGAAATGAGACCACTTGTTAAAAATGAAGAAGGTTGTTTTGAGTAGTTTCTTAATATTTACTAATTTTGTTCCCTCAGAGCATACGTGAAGATTTTCAAACATACAGCTTACTGATTTTTGACACTGTGTCTGTAACCATTTTGCATTGAGGTTATTCACCTTTCATCTTAAGGTATCCTTAATATTTTATATTTCATTGGACTTCTTCCAAGAAACAGTTTGATATTTGCTGGAGATGAGCAGGTTGATAACTCAACTAGGATGTTGTAACTATTGAGAATTTATCATAGAACAAGAATTGTTGGAAGATTTCAAGTATATGAGCTTTTGAATTAAATAAGAGTTAAAAATGTGAAGCAGCTGGGCATGGTGGCTCACACCTGCAATCCCAGCACTTGGGGGGCTGAGGCAGGAGGATAGCCAAAGAGTTCGAGGCCAGCCTGGACTACATAGTGAGTTCAAAGCCAGCCAGAACCACAGAGCTGGACCCTGTCTCAGAAAAACAAACACAAAAACAAAGCAAGATGAACAGAGGAATGGGAACAGATTCTCCAAAATCATATATGGGATAATCTATAAATTATTTCATAGACTCATGTAAAATCCTAACAGGACCCTCTGGCATCTAAACCAAGTAAATAAGAATCACTTTAGGTAACGGAGACTCTATACCTATATCTAGATTTGTTGCCTGGTGATTTGATGCCTTGGTTTTATACAAAATGACTTTCACATTCTATGTGCCTAATAAATGTTTCTTCTTGACATTAAGTTAACATATATGGCCAAGCCCCATTTTACAGGATGCTCAGAAAAGCCCTTGTTCATAAAAAATATGATTAAGGCAATGTCATAAAATATATCTGAGTGACAGTATAATGCACTATAGGATCAACTGACAAGTGAGTACAAGTTAATAGATAAGAAATGAATTCTCTGACTGATAAGGATACTGGATCATTATATAATTTAATAACTAATATTTTATTATTTTAATACCATTTATTGGCTGGACTCTGCATACTTAAGAGCTGCAGTAACATTACATAATATGAATTATATGCATATTTTATTGATTAAAGAAACCAAAATCCCAGGAACTTGGATGAATTTTCTGAACCCAAATATATCATTAGATTTAGAGTATATTTGAATCCATTACCATTTGACATTTCAACTCAAGTTCACTCCACTGTACTAGGATGATTTCCTGGAAAAAAAAAAAAAAAACCTAAGGTCTAGGATGCAGCTCAGTGGTAGAACACTTGCCTAGGCTTGGATGCGCAGCACCACACAAAATTAATGAAAAATAAAAATCAATCACCTGGGCAGGAAACATCTGTGGGAAGCTATTTAGGGGCTACACTAATTGTGAAATGAACTGGAGCAAAGACAGCCCAAAAGCAGGAAGTGTGCCTGATATTTTTAAAGTAGCGTACACTTGATACTTGTCACCTGGTAGAGGAAGAACTCTTTTAGTAAGAGGTATTTGTTAATATTTGTATAGTTCATGTTTAGACTGTTTAGTAAGAAGCAGATTTTCAAATTTAAAAGAGTATTTCCACCAAGTTCTGTTTTCCTTTAATCAGCTGGTAGGAAGGGAACCTGGAAAAGTGAAATCTTATATATGACTGTTTTAGTTAAACTTTTTAGGAAAAAAAAAACTGTTCTAAAGTGATTTCAAGGTGATTCCAAATAACATGCATATATGCTTCAGCTCAGACTTCGTACACTCTTCTTCCATATCCGACACTCCATCCTTTCTTATTGTTAAAAGTCCTGTGTCTATATTTCTAATACCCACCATTCATCACCCAGTCCTTCAACAATGACACATTAATGAAAAAATGATAGTATCCACAAACATTCAAAACTTGTATGGGGAGTTAATGATCATTACACATGCTAAAAAGAAAGATAAAATGGTATTTTCAAAAGGAAAGTGAGAAAGAGAAGCATGCCCTGCAAGGAAAGTTCAAGAGCTACTTCAATGACAGATTTAATCCCTACGAAAAGTTGCATACATGATAAGTATTATTGTTCCCACCACACAAACATTCGGGAGATGCTCCCCACTCCCCAACAGATCTTTGTGCTCAGAAGGCTGAAGTTACTTCTAGCCTCGGGGCTGGGACACATGATGTAGAACCCAGAAGACGGGTTGATCTCAGTGATGATTCCAGGTCTGAACATATGGCCTACGATATCCCATCCGATAGAAGTACAGAGCACTGAAAATACAGTGTGATGGCTAAGGGGGGAAAATTCACATGAACTTAAAAGCCTACGACCTTCATTTGGTTATTAATTCACTTATGATTTCAGTATCAATCTATTGGTTGACAATATCCTTGGTACTAAGCAATTTGAGTACAGTCTCAAGGCAAACAGATGAAAATTGGCCATATGAATTACGAAAGATCACACTGTACATAATTCTCTCTTGTTTCTCTTGACTTAACCACAAAGAACTAATTATTAGAGGAGACATCCACTTATGAGAAAATAAATTCACATTATTTGCAGCAGTATGCCTCATATTACAGCTCTGGCTTCATTGTATCCCTGCTTTCTGTTGCATTTCATGTTAGGTTCTATGTGCCTAATTCTAAGTTTTCACCGCTCATCTTATAAAACAAAAATATGTTTCAAAATTCCAAAAACCAATGACAAACTACCTTTAGTTTCTACCTTTTAATATATTTTACCAACCCATAGAATAAGGTTCCCCACTAATGAGTTGTCAAAAGAAAATCTGAGATGCATTCAATTTAACCAAGTTCATTTGAGCAAGAAAAACACTCTAGACCTAGGCAACATTCCAAACTAAAGATGGTTCAATGTACTGAGCTACCTTTATAACCAGGAGGAAATGAAACCACATGCAGAGATTACCTGATTGGCAAAGTCTAGTGTGTGCCTTAATTGAAAATAACTTGGCAGCCTTCTGAGATTGGCTGAGAGGTCAGCTACTGTGACTGTCAGGCTCAGTCACTTAGCCACGAGAGCACACTCGGGTTAGTTACCACCTGCTGCACACCAGGCTAGGTTTTAGCTTACTAGATAAGGGGACTTCCAGGGCCAACTTATTGTGCAAGTATGGAGGGTGCTTTAGGCCAGTTTATTGGAGGTCAATATGGCATAATTATAAATGACCACTAGCTGACTTATGGTTCAGTCTTCTGTCTTCCTATCATCTCTCACATTTCCTTAAGTTTTATGTACCTGAACACGAGTATTTGACTCATCCCAACTGAAGTCATTAAAACAAAATTAGCATGCAAAATGCATGGTAATGTATTCACTTGGTTTTAATACCCTATGTGATAATACCATTTGATCTAGAACCACGGAATTATGGAAATGGAATGTCCATATCTGTATTTTTTCCAGGAAGAACTGATCAAACCTCATTGATTATCCTTTTCAGATACAAAGTACATCAACATGTGAAACAACTCAGATTCTCTACCATTAATCTTCCTGTGTTAAGCTGCCAAAATTTTAATTTGGTAGAGTTTTGAATTTATCACATCCTACTGTTTTGCTACAGCACACTGTGAATTTGCTTCATCTGGATATAGGTGCATTTCCTCACTTTTTCCTCAGCAACTAGATGAGATGAGCCCTATTGCTTCCAAAGTGCAGGCATTAGAGTTACATAAATGAACTCAAATTCTGCCTGTTCTTAGGTTTATAACTTTGGCAAGTTATTAACATTACTTAGTCTGTTTCCACAATGAAGAAGTATAAATGATAATATTTATCTATCATATATTGTAAGCAATACAAAATATATTCATCAAAATATATAAAGTACTTAGAATAGCCATGAAACTTACTAAATACATATCTGTCTCTAATTTAATTATGTACCATCAGTACCGTATATAACACCATGGTAATATTGGGCTCTGTTTTTTTTTTTTTCATTTCAATGTTTATTTTCATTAATTGTTCAACCAGTTATTCTTACCTATTAAAGTGGGTACAGAGTCAAAAATGAATTCTAATTAATTAATGGATGGATGGGTGGATGGCTGGATGAGCCTTTCCTCCCAGCTACAGTACTGTCTGGGTATCTTATCACAAGAGGATGGCTGTTCATCCTGGGATAGATCTGGCTAAAGGACAGCTATGTAAAGAGTTTGACAGGGTCTTCAGTTTGAGAAACCACAAACTTTAGGAAACAGATTTTCATGGGGACTTTTATGGACCTACAGATCTTTAAGAAAGAAAAAGAAGAAATTACCTCTCTCTATGAAGTTCATATTCACTGAGGCAACAATTTTTCAAAGCTCATAATCATGGTCCTAGTTATTCAGCCAAAGTATTTTGGGGCATTTTTCCCATTTTTAAGGTTTTAAAAACTGAAGTACAGAGAAATCAGCTTTCCTAAGGTCACACAATAAGAAATGGTATAACTGGAATCCAAGTTCTTGTGTCCAATCCCCAAGCTCTGTTTTTGCACCTGTATATCATACCTTGTCATAAAGGCAAATACCCTAGCAACTCCACCCAGTGGGCAACTGGGAGAGACCAGAACCTATAATGCAATCATGAAAATAGAAAATAATCACTTACCTTTCCACAGAGCTTCAAGCTGCTCAAAGCACTTTCAGAGTTTACCGCACTTGTCTTTCACGCCGTGAAGAAGTAGGAGAAGCACCAGGCCGCTGCTGCGCAGACAAGGTCGCTGGAGGTCACCACGCTTGCCTTAGCTCACACAGCTGCAGCACAGTGCAGCAAGACCCCAAATCAGTGCAGCATTTTATCAGTGATCAGTGTTCTTATCACACGGAACAAGTCCTCTCTGGCTTAGATTTTTGATAACAATAAGGAAAATGTCTTCCATTGTTTTACCTAAATAGTAAAAACTGGCTGATTCCAAATGCTTTCCTATTTTGCTAGGTAAACCATGTCCTTCTTCATTCCACAAATGCTAGGACAGCCTCCTGAAGACAGGGTGCTCCCATAGGGGCCCAGCCCAGCGCCTCTGCTATTTGAGAATGGACAAAGATGGCACAACAATGCTCATTCTGGAAAACAGAACACTAAGAACTAACATTCACGACTCATCTGTTTATGTGTCTGATAGTAAAAACTCATTACTCAGATCAAAAGGGCAATAATTACTCTATGTTGCTATATTACTGTATGTTTCATAAATGTATCAAGATAAAAACAAAGCAAAAAGTTGTAGATGTCAGACAATACGTCTCAGTTGTGGAAAAGCTAACACAAATATGAAGTGGTAAAGGACAGAAAATAGGAGGCCAAGTTGGAAAAGTTGAGAAAGACCAGAGTTCTCATGAATGCATTTTAATGTTATTTAAATTTTTACTGCTTTATCATTCTTCCAAAAATATTGGGTGTCTCTTATGAGCTGGGCATTATACACAACTTCAGGTTTCCAACAGAAGAGCAACTTGCCAGATTATCACTTCAGAAGGACTTCATAGCTGCAAAGTGAAGGACTTATTACAATGCAGAGAGATAATCAAAGAAAGAACTGGTCACAGTACAAGTTGAAGGGCTGTAATTTTAGGGATGTGACAATGGAGTGGAAGGAGGAGCAAGATTCAAGTGATGCACAGTGAGTGAATTAAACAAGATTTAGTTGAGGAAGAGTTAGGAACTGAAAATTTCCAGGTTTCTAGTTTGGAAAACCACAGAGAGGACGGCATCTCTTTCAATGAGACAAGAAATTCAAGAAGAGAAATTCTGATGGAGGAGAGAGAAAAGAAACAGGGATATCCCGGGCAATGTCTTAAACTTAATGTGCAAACCCAGGCAAAAGGGAGTCTGAGCTGGAGATACGAATTTCAGTCTTCAGCTGAAAGTTGAGGCTGTTGGACACAAATGAGATGACCTACAGAGCATATGTACAAAAAAAAGATGACGCTGGGTAGGAAAGAGTTCACGAACAACGATGTTTTAAAGATGGGTGGAAAAAGGTTTACAGATATAAGAGAAGCCATATTACCAACCAGTAAGAAAGTTTCTGGGAAATACAGCTTGTCCCATGTTTGAAGGCAGTAGATCAAATAACACACAAATTGAAAAGTGATTAATTTGGCAATTGTAGGACATAGGAATAGGAACTATCTCAGCGGTGTTTATACTGGAAACAATACCAGTGGAGCGAGAAAGGACTACGAGGAAAAGAAGAGGGGGACACAAGGGGATATTGTTCTTTCTAGCCTGGGAGTTGGGGACAGGGAAAAAGATTTATGGTCACAGAGAGAGAAGAATGTAAGGCCAAGGAATAGGTGTCATTCTTTTTGTTTCTTTGTTTTTAAATTGAGGGCAATTTGAAATAAATAGCAGGGCAAATAGGGAAATTGAAAGAAAAAGAAAATTTGAAGAAACAGTCAAGAAAAACTGTAGCTTTCTACTTAGGAAGTAAAAAGTTTCTAGAGATTGCACCTCCCCTCCTAAAAATAAAACAAAACTGCATAACCTATAAGGTCAAGTAGTGTATTTTAGAAGCCTATTTAATCGCTGAAACATAACCAAATAAAATTCAGAAACTAATGACTCTCTTCACAGCTGCTTTTGTCCTCCACAAAACAATGGGCATAGGTAAAAAACTGTAAGAAGTGTACAACAAAATATTTCGCTTTCCAAGGCCAGGAATGTGCTGGAATGAAGATTCATGAACTCAAGATGCTCCTGACAAGCCACCTATGGTAGTGCATGCCTGTAATCCCATTACCTGGGAGACTGAGGCAGGAAGATCAAAAGTTCAAGTCCAGCCTGGGCAACTTAGTGACTAAACTAAGTGACTCAAAGTAAAAAATAAAAAGAGATGTGGATGTAACTTGGCATAAAGGGACTGGGATTAATCCCCAGCACTGCCAAAAAGAGATGTTCCAAACAAAATAAGGAAAGAGGAGGAAGTAAAGAAGAGAAGAGGTGGATAAAGTAAAAGAGAAGAAGATAGGAAAAGAGGTAAATGATCTTCCCACATACACCAATTATTTTCCATGAGTCTTCACCAACTGTTTATGAAAAGGGTTACAGCAGGGTAGGAAAGACCACATCCCTCACATTATAAATACAGAAAGATTATTAAAGGATGAAGGCAGGAAACCCAACCAAAATAAACCCTGTAGGAACTGAGACCACAAGTTGCATTTAAGAAAGTAGTAATCTCAACATCCAAAAATCTGAAGATTGTGGTGACCTGAATCTACCCAATGCAACGAAAAGCCCAGGAATAGCTGGTCAAGTGCTAATAGATTGAGT